GAGTTCGGATCAGGTTTTTGTAAGGGTGCTCGGTAGTTGGGATACGGTTTTCGCTCGAAGCCCAAGGAATTCGGATTAGGTTCTGACGCGGACCCCCTGGAGTTTGTATGTGGTTTTCGTATGGGGGCCAGTGAGTTCGGCATGGTCTCCGTGGCGCTTGTGGGTTAGGATAAGGTGTTCTGCAGGGGGGCCAAGGGTTACGGGAAGGTTTTCGTGTGGAGCCTAAGACATTCGGCGGGGTTGTCGCACGGAGCCAATGTTGTTTTGACAGATGTTCAAACGGGGGTAGTGGGTTAGGAAAAGGTTTTCTTAGGGGGGGCTGGGAATTAGGATAAGGTTTTCGCGCGGAGCCCAAGGAATTCGGATCAGGTTTGCGCGCAGAGCCCCTGGAGTTTGGACATGGTTTGCGTAGGGGGGGCAGAAGGTCACGATACGGTTTCCTCAGGGGGGGGGGCAGGAGTTCGGAGAAGGCTTTCACTCGAAGCCCAAGGAATTCGGATTAGGTTTTGACCCGGAGTCCCTGGAGTTTGAAATGGGTTTTCGTGTGGGCCCGTCGGGATGTTTCCCTGCAAACGTCTCGGGCCCAACTACTTGAGATTATGCGGAGGAGGAGGAGGAAGAGGAGGAGGGCACGGAGGAGGAGGCGGAGGAGACTGAGGAGGAGGAGGAGGAGGAGGAGGAGGGGGAGGAGGAGGGGGAATAGGTGAACAGCGCTCCACGGGGGCCAGGGCCCCTCCGAGGCGTGGAGCAGAGCCCGTTGATCTGGGAGGGAGGAGAAGCAGCAGGAGCGGCAGGAGGACAGGAGGAGAAGAAATGACGAGGGTATGAAATAGATGGGGGGGAGGAGGAGGAAGAGGAGGAGGAGGAGGAGGAGGAGGAGGAGGAGGAGGAGGAGGAGGAGGAGTTGGAAGAGGAGGAGGCGGAGGAGAAGGAGGAGGAGGAGGAGAAGGAGGAGGGTAATGAGGGCAATGGCTATGCGGAAGGGCGAGGTCCGCCCTCCCCTCGCTCGGAAGCGCGAATGAGTTCAAGCTTTCGGCCCCCCACGGGGGACAAGACGAGGGAGGGCGAAGGGCGATGGGAGACCCTGAGGCCCGCAAGGAATGCAGAGGATGCGGACTGAGGTGGACGTGGGGGAAAAGGACGAGGAGGAAGGAACGGGGGGACCTCGGAGTTTGGATCTGGCTTCCATCAGGGGGGGGCCCAATGATTTCGGATAAGTTGTTCGTGGGCCCCCCCATACTTAGGATAAGGCGTTCGCGCAGAGCCCAAGAAATTCGGGGTACGTCTTCGCGCGGAGCCCAAGGAGTTTGGAGATGGCTTTCGTAAGGGGCCTCTGAGTTAGGATAAGGGTTGATAAGGGAGCCACAGGTACTACAACGAGGATTTCGTGTAGAGCCCGAGAAATTCGGAGTAGTTTTTTGCGCGGAGCCCGTGGAGTTTGGACATGGTTTTCGCAAGGGGCCCAGTGAGGTAGGAGCTCTACGAATGATGACGAGGGTTTCGCGCATCAGGCAATGAGTTGGGATAAGGTTTTGGGGCCAGTGGTTTAGGATACGGTCTTCGTAGGGCCCCGGGAGTTTGGATACGGTTTTCGCTCGGGGTTGAACGACGTCGAAGTGGTATTCGCGCGGAGCCCATGGATTTGGGAATTGGCTTTCGTCTTTCGTGGGGGGGGCAGTGAGTTTGGATAGGGTTTCGTAGGGGGGCCCAGAGATCAGGATAATGTTTCCAATCGGAACTCAATGAAGTCGTATGGGGCCTTCGTGCGGGAGCCGTGGAGCTTGGAGATGGTTTTCGTACTGGGGCCAGTGAGTTTGGATAAGGCTTTTGTAGGGGACCCCAAAGGTTAGGATAATGCTTTCGCTCAGGGTCCAAGGAATTCGGAAGGGTTATCGCGCGGAGCCGACTGAGTTAGGATCCAGTTTTTTCGTAGGGTAGGCCAGTGAATTAGGATCAGATTTCCGTATGAGGGGCCCTAGGAGTTCGAATAAGGTTCTCGCTCGGGCCCCAAGAAATTCGGATATGGTTTTGACGCGGAACCCCTGGAGTTTGGATGTGGTTTTCGTCCAGGGGGCGGGCCAGTGAGTTCGGATCAGGTTTTTGTAAGGGGGCTCGGTAGTATGGATACGGTTTTCGCTCGAAGCCCAAGGAATTCGGTTTAGGTTCTGACGCGGACCCCCTGGAGTTTGTATGTGGTTTTCGTATGGGGGCCAGTGTGTTCGGATAAGATTTCGTTGGGGGCACCAGGGTTAGGATAAGGTTTTCGCGCGGGGCCGAGGGAATTCGGATGCAGATTTCGCGAGGAGCCCTGGGGTTTGGGCATGGTTTCCGTGGCGCTTGTGGGTTAAGATAAGGTGTTCTGCAGGGGGGCGGTTTGCGTAGGGAGGCAGACGGTTACGATACGGTTTCCTCAGGGGGGGGGGGCAGGAGTTCGGAGAAGGCTTTCACTCGAAGCCCAAGGAATTCGGCTTAGGTTTTGACGCGTAGCCCCTGGAGTTAGAAATGGGTTTTCGTGGGGGGGGGAATGAATTAGGAGAAGGTTTCTGTGGCCAGGGCTAGGATCAGGTATTCGCGCGGAGCCCCGGGAATTCGTAAGGGTTGTCGCGCGGAGCCCCTGGAGTTTGGATGAGATGTTCGTAGGGGTGGCCAGTGAGTTCGGGTTTTCGTAGGGGGGCCGGGAGTTAGGATAAGGTTTTCGCTCGGGGATCAATGAAGTCGGACTAGGTTTTCGCGCGGAGCTCGTGGAGTCTGGATGTGGCTTTCGTAGGGGAGCCAGTGAGTTAGGATAAGGCTTGCGTGGGGGGAACCAAGAATTAGGATAAGGTTTTTGCGCGGAACTCACGTCATTTGAATGAGGTATTCACGCGGAGCCCGTGGAGCTTTGAACTGATTTTCGCATGGAGGCCAGTGGGTTAGGATGATTCAGGTTTTCGTCAGGGGGGGGCCAGGGGTTAGGATAAGGTTTGCGCGCGGGGCCCAATGAATTCGGACTAGGTTTTGTAGGGGGGTTCGTGCGTTCGGGCCCTACAGCAACCTTATCCTAACTCACTGCCCCCTTCGCGAAAACCAGATCCAAACTCCAAGGGCCCCGCGCGAAACTCTACTCCGAATTCCGTGAGCTCCGCACGAAAACCTTATCCTAACTCCCGGGCCCCGCTTCGAAAACCTACTCCTAGGTCACTTCCCCCTACGAAAACGTAATCCACACCCCAAGGGCTCTTCGCGAAAACTTCATCCGAATTCCTTGGGCTCCGCGCGAAAAACTCATCAAAATTCCTTGGACTCCGCGTGACAGCCTGATCCTACCTCCCGGGGCCCGCTTCGAATTCCTCTGGCTGAGCGCGGAAAGCCCGATCCTAACTCCCGGCACCTCCCTTACGAAGACGTTATCCGAATTCTATGGACCCCCAACGAAAACCATATCCAGACTCCACGGGCTCCGCGCGAAACTCTACTCTGAATTCCTCGGGATCCGCGCGATAACCTTATCCTAACTTCCGGCCCCCCTACACAAACCTTACCCTGACTTACTGGGCCTCCTACGGAAACCACATCCAAACTCCCAATGCCCTGCGCGAAAACCTAATCCGAATTCCGTGGGCACCGCGCGAAAACTTCTCCAAATTCCTGGCCCCCCCCTACGAAAACATGATCCTTGGTCCTGTTGCGAAAACCATCTCCAAACTCCACGGGCTCCGCCCAAAAAAAAAAAAACTGATCCGAGTTCCCCGGGCTCCGCGCGAAAACCTCTTCCCCTAACTCCGAGAACCCCGACGAACATCTGATGCTCACTGACGGCCCCCCGCCACACGAACACCTAAGCCGCAGCATGTGAGCTGCGTGCGAAAACCTTATCCTAACTCCAGGGTTCCCCGACGAAAACCTCTTCCCTAATTCTGAGAACCCCGACGAAAATCTTATGCTCACTCACTGCCCCCCGCCACACGAACACCTAATCCGCAGTATGTGAGCTGCGTGCGAAAACCTTATCCTAACTCCCGGCCCCCCCGACGAAAACATGTTCCGGACTCTCTGGCCCACTGCGAAAACCATATCCAAACTCAATCGATGGGCTCTGCGCGACGACCTATTCTGAACTCCTTGGGCTCTACGCGAAAAACTTATCCTAACTCCCAAAGCCCCCTACGAAAACCTTATCCTACCTCACTCCCCCCCCCCCCTGCGAACGCCATATCCCCACTCCATGGGCTCCGCACGAAAACCCGATCTCGAGTCCAGGGCTCAGCGCGAAAGGGGTATCCTAATTACCAGGGCTTTCGAAAGAACACCTGATCCTAACCCTCTGTCGCACCATACGAAAACCATATCCAAACTCCAGGGGCTCTGACAACCTTATCATAACTCACTGGCCGCCCTACGAAAACAATATCCAGACTACAAGGGGTCCGCGCGAAAATCTAGTCCGAATTCCTAGGACCCCGAGCGAAAACCTCATCCTAACTCCCAGGCCACCTTCGAAAACCTTAACCCACTGTCCCCCTACAACACCTTATCCCAATTCCACGGGCTCCGCGCAAAGCACGAAGCGCGGAACGAAAATAACTTCGCGCCTCGCGCTGACTTTGCCCAGACCGCGAAACCCGCGATGCAATCCCTCGCTGGCCTAGCCCCAAAGATGCGAAGCGCGCCTACCTTCGCTCTGCAAGCCGTCGTAGGCTCAGACCGCGAAGGGCGAATAACTTCGCGCCTCGCTCTGACGTCGCCCAGACCACGAAGCGCGAATAACTGCGCACCCTCGGGGTAACCCTTGGTGAGGGAAGCAGGAGGGATGAGCATGAGGGAGAGGAGAAGAGGAGCAAAGGCGGAAGAGGGAAGAATCGGGATGGGATGGAGGAGGATGAGGAGGAGGAGGAGGAGGAAGGAGCAAAATCAGCAAAAGAGCCAGTAGCAGGAGCAGCAGAGGGGGGAATCGGCCGAAGAACGACGGGCGTTGAGGGCTGTGTACTGAAAGGGAAGGATGGCTTGCTTGTCGGCGTCTCCGGCAGCACGCACTGCAGCTTGGACCTCTCGGGCACGACAAGCTGCTGGCAGAGCGGCGAGACCTTAAGGGCACCCTGAGGATGCGGAGCAAGCCGCCGATCGAGGCCATCGACCGCCAGAACACATGCGAAACACAACCTCCATCACGTTATTCTCGAGACCTGGGAGGTCCGTTCCAGAGGTCCCCGGAGGCGCCCCCATGCAGAGGCACCCAGTGGCCCGAGAGGCCTCCAGAAGCCACGCGAAGAGCCGAAAGCGCTCCAGCTAAAAACCTGGGGACCCTGCCCCTCTCCCCTCCCCCTCTCCCCTGCCCTCGCCCCAGGTTTGGCTCGAGCGGTTGCATAACCGGTTCCGCGCCGATCCCCGCCGCGACGCCCTATCGGGCCGCCATCCGACAGGCGCGACGCCTGCCTACTCTCCTCCTTCCTATCCCCAGCGGCCTCGTGACGAGCCCGCTACTCATCGTAGAGCGCGCAAGCAGCCCGCCAACGCCCGCACGCTTTTAAGGGTGCACAAGGCCGCGATGATGCTTTCACAGCACCATTCCTTTCAGGGCATCCCCCAGCAAGGCGCTGTTCCTCCTACCTCACCCCCCCAGCATGCGCCACTATCTGGGCTGCAGCAGCATGGCATGGCTACTTCTCCCACCCAACGCTTGGCTGCCCCTCCCTCACCGTCTCTTTATGCCACGCGCCTGCCCCTAGACTTTTTTTCCTCCACCCCAGCAGCCAGTGCACCAGAAAGGCAGCGCCCCGCCCGAGTTCTGGTATTGCCTGCAATGCGGCCGGGCCAATACCACTTTGGATGCCTCATGTCCCAACTGTTTTCCGACCAGGGCCGCAAGTCACCAACAAGCGACGGTCGGCCCAGTCAAAGGTCAGGGGCAGCACAGGCCCCTGCACGATGGAGGCGCGGGGCCGGGCCACAAGGGCCCTCGCTCCTTTTCAGGCAGCACGGGGGGGATGCACCAGGGCAAGGGCCCCGCACCGACAGGTGCGCCGTCCTACGACCAGGTGGCTGCATGGGCAGCGGAATACGGCCTGCCCCCCGCGCCCCCAGGAGATCATGCGGTCCAAGAGGCTGGGATCTCCAACAAGGAGCGCAAGAAGCGTGAAAAGGACGACGCTCGCAGAGCTCGCGAGTACCAGCGCAGAGACGGGGAGCAGCCTCCATTGAAGGCTCCTGGCACCCCACACGGGGCCAAGGACACAGGCATCATAGGACAGTCTCCCCAGTCACTGCCTTCCCCTTTTGCGCCTCCTCAAGACGGCGTGGCCACTCCCCCTACACTCTTCGGCCCTACCTCTGTACAGCAGTCCCCTTTCCTCGCGGCCGAACAGGCCTCTGCCTCGCTTGGAGCGTTGGATCCCGCCACCGAACTCTCGGAGGCGGAGCTCGCAGCGCAGTGCCCTACTCTTACCCCAGACGAGGCGCACTCTCACTCAGCCTGGCTTTACCCCCCGCTTGAGCCCGACCGCCTGCTGGAGCACCGCAAGGCCCTTGCAATGAGCAAGGAGGCACTAATCCTGCAGCTCAGGGCCTCAACTCTCCTAGGACACTGCGATATGCGTATCACCGAGATCCGAAAGGAGATTTCACTAGTTAATTTTCAATTGGCCAACGCGAGGGATCCGCTGGCCAAGATTAGCGAGCAAGAGCACGTGGTGGCCTCCCTGCAGGCCAATTGTGAGCAATTGGCAGCCAAACAAACGCAGGCAGAGGAGCACGTGCGCAACATTGCCCTGGCCCTTCAGACCGCACAAGCGGACCTCAGCCAGGCTGCCATGTTACTAGCTTATTTCAAGTCGCAAGCACCGCCAGTCGCCGCCATCACTGACTCGCTCATGATGGGGGACGCGGCGGAGGAGCCAGGTGCAGCACAGCGCACTGCGACACTCTCTGCAACGCATACAGGTGAGGAGCAAGCCGGCCCACATGACCTGGGAACGGCCACGCCCCTCACGGCAGCGCCGACCTCTCCCCCACTCCTCCATTGCCCAGCGCCCCCTCCAGGCATCCAAGGATTGGAACAGCCTTACATCACATCACTCTCTGCGGCCATGCAAAGCAACGCCGAGGCCATGGCCAGGGAAGTTGCCACCATCAAGGCAAATTTTGACTCCCAGGCCCAAGCCATGCGCAACTCAGTAGAAACCCTAGTCTCACAGATCAAGGCCGGGCAATTAGTGCCAGCCGCCACCTCTAGCCACGGCGCTACGGTCCGAGGGGGGACCACAGCGCCGTCAGGATGTGAACAGGCCCGCGCTTCCCCCAAAGCAGGCCCGCTATTCCGCCTAGGTTTCGTGCCCAAACCCGGGCCAGCGCCAGTGCCCAAGCCGCCGACAGGGGAGGCGATCACCACTGCGCCCTCGTTTCAAGATAGCTCAGTTAGGGAAGACGCTATCAACCAGCAAAGCCCGGCATCAGCTTCAGTAGAGGATCCCAGCGGCATGCCCCCACCTACCCGCTCTGCCAGCCAGATTGGGTGGGACCTCTCCGATGAAAAAGGCGAGCCAGTCTCCATGGCATCCTCCCGCCGCAGCGCAAGCGCGCAGGCCAGGGGCAGACCCGCACGTGCGGGTCAGGCCGAGCAGCGCGCGCTATCAGGCATCAGCGAGGAAGATTTTGTAGCTAGGCGGGCAGCACGCAGCAAGAGCCCTCGTGGATCACGGCGCCCCAGGCCCGAGACAGCCGAGGATGAGCCAAAGGCACGTGCAGGGGCATCCGCCTCGTCTACTCCACGCAGCCCTGCAGATGCAATGGCAGAAGCAGAGGCGGCGGACCTCCGTGCTGAAGCCGAGGCCCACGCGGCACAAGCTGCTCAGGACGATTTAGCCCAGGCAGCGCGTGACGGCACGGTTTTTCAGGTCGCTCCCCCGGACACTGCCCACGGGTGAGCCTGGGGGGGCGGCAAGGTATTCGCCGCAGCCCACTCCCGCCCATGAGGTGGATGCTACCGGTGCTAACGGCTACCTCCATACAGCTGGTCAGGGACTTCGATGTCATCTTTCCAGCCCTCCACTCCTCCTCCATCCCCACATGGCACGGCTTTGTCTTTGATACTCCCTACGCGGCTTTTGACTCCGCGGATATATATACCGACGCCAGCGGAGGGGCCTCCAAAGGAGATCTTGCTGGCCCACCAGCGTGGGCTTTTCTGGTCTTTGCATGGCTTAACGGCACTCGACACTTTCTAGGATTCCTAGGGTGTCCCACCCCGGAGACTACGGGAGAAGATAGAGTCTCCGCTAAAGCGGAATTCGATGCCGCCACTTGGGCGGCGCTATGGGCTCTACAGTCCCCCCTCCCTCCCGCCGTTCCTATCACCTTTCACTCAGACAACATGGATGTTGTCGCCACCGCCAAAGGCGGCACAGTGGCTGAGCCACTAATGGAGCATAGAAGCCGCCTCGACAGTCTATGCAAAGTACTTGGCCTTAAACGCCACTTTACATGGCAACACGTGCACGGTCACCAAGCCGACCCGCTCAACGAAATGGTTGACACTGTCGCCAGACTTTACTCCTTCGCACTCCTACCTCCCCCCGTGCTCCCGCCCCTCATGAGATTTCTCCAGGACAATGCGCATATTTTGGAATGGCTCTGGCTTGAGTGCCTGCCTCAGCAACAGCGTGCGCTTTACCCGCCAAACCATCAAGTTAGCCTCAATCCTCCTCTCCCCCCGCGCACCTCGCTTGCTGGCGTTTTTCCAGGTCTCTTCAAAGAAGCAGCCCCGATCGCAGACGCCGCGGCATCATGCTGTCTCAGGCTGGCCTCAGCCAACATTCTCTCTCTCACTCCTGCCTCGCGCATTTCCCAAAGAGCCGGGCTTACAGGCGTGGCCGTCAAAGGACGCCTCCACCAACTGGCCGCCGCTTTTCAACGCAACGGGCTCGACGTTATCGGCATGCAAGAGACGCGAGTCACAGACACGGGCTCTGGCAAGCGCCAGGTTCCCCCGTACGTAGTCTTTTTGTCAAAGTCTCAAACTGGAACTCATGCCTGCGGCTGTGCGCTATGGGTCAACCTTACCACGCCCGTTTTTCCCAATGCCAAAGGCATTCCCACTTTCCCTATTAAGTCTCACAGCGTGCGTATTGTACACCAAGACCCGCGCATTATTGCGGCAGTCATCAGCCAGAACGGCCTACGTTTCAGTATTCTCGTGGCACACGCTCATCATTCAGGGCGCCCTCTCCACGAACAGGTCGTATGGTGGCAACACCTTAGACATGTGCACGACCATATCTTACCGCAGCCTACGCCTACTCTTGTCCTAATGGACTCCAATGCTGCAGTGGGCACGCAAACATCAGCGGCCATTGGCCCACAACACGCGGAGCAAGTTAACACGGCTGGCTCCTTTTTCCATCGCTTCTTACTTGCATCTAAGCTCTGGCTGCCGGCCACCTTTGTGCCACACCCTATGGGGGCAGGCACATGGATCGCGCCAGCACGTGACCCCGCTTTCAAACAGCACTGGAAACGCAGGGACTATATAGCTATACCCTTAGGTGCCTCTGCCAACGAATGCGAAGTCAAGTATTCTCTTTCCCTTGCACTTGCAGTGTTAGACCACGCTGTTCCGTGCCTATTATGCCAATTCAAGCTGCAGCTCCGACCTAACGAAGACCAGGGACGCCAGGTCATGCGTATTCCGCACGACCCCAATGCATACCTAGACCCGTCGGCCAGACAGCTTTTTGAAGACACTTTCTCGCCTCCCCCTGAAACTTTAACTTTTGACCTGCATGCCTCAGACCGCGCGCTCATATTAGACAGGGAGGCGCGCAACGCCATGCTACAGGCATTTCCTCAACCCCGCACATCTACAGGTCGCGCACCTTCCAACTCCCGCGTTTCCATGGCCACCCTTAGGCTCATGGATGCCAGAGCTTTCATTGTCAGCCAAGCCGACACGCTTCAACAGGAAGCACGCAACCTTTTTCTACTGGCAGCCATCGCGGCATGGAAGCGATATGTACGATCCAGGCAGGCATTTACACGCCCTAAAGCGGCATTGCGACATCATGAAGAGCTCTCGCTGATGCCCGCAATCAAT